CTTGCTTCTAATAGCTGCCAGCCACCATTTCTTTCCCTCATGTAAATTAGAGAATGGATTTTTATTTCAAACTTTTTTAAAATGCTTTCTTTCTTTCTTTCTTTTCTTTTTTGTCATTATAGAGCTGGTAGTTTTGTTGTTTGAAGGAAACCCATTACCTTAAATTATAAAGATTTTAGCTTTTAAATTTAAAAATTTAAAGATTTTAGCCCTTAAACTTGAAGATTTAAATATTTTAGCCCTTAAACTAATAAAATCTGTTAATTCTCTATAAAAGTGAAAATAAAATATTTGCATAAACAATTCTCAAAAATTAAAAATATAACAACTTAGTTTCAAAAGTTTAAAAATCAAAAAATTAGTATACTAGAAGGAATTAATAAATGACTTTCTTATATGCATTAAAATAGTAATAAATATTTATAATCAAGTCAAATGATTAGGTTTATTCAAAGAAAGAATTTGATTAAGATTAAAGAAAATTTCTAGATTGAGTTAAAATAGAAAATCCAAAAAACTAGAAGGATACAATAAAGAAATTTTCTTTAATCTCAATTAAATTTCTTTCTTTAGATTAAGCCTATCACTCAATTTAATTATAGGTATCTAATACTATTCTCATGTATTAGTAAAGTCATTTACTAATTATTTTTAATTTTAAAATTTTTGAAACTAAATTGTTATTGCCTCTACATAAATAGCACATATTATCAGAAATTTTTTACCATTGCATCTTGAAGCAGCTTATTGAAAAAGAAAAAGATAACAACAGTTAAAGCTGAGAGTTTGGATTCCCTTTGAAGAGTCTTAACTTCTTAATTGTTCTTGGGCACGAATAGAAAACCACCAACTGAAAGGCGGAAAGGGGATTAATGAACTATGGTCACCAACGATAGGGGGTAAAGGGTCCATATTTTTATGGCTTTTCTAACTCACAACAGATTCTGATACCAGATACTCTAATCATGGAGGTACAGGAGAGCCATTGGCTAAGAAACAGCCCCAGAATGCTCTGCCAAGGGAGGACTCAAAGGACTTGTTTGCTAAAATATTTTATAAGAAGGCTCCAATCAAAGTGCAAGAGAGCTCATCCCGTCTGCTTTCCACAGCCCTTCTTCATACCTATACCACCCCAGAAGCCCTTCATCAGCTTTTGTCCGCTGGTACATGATACATGAGTCTTTGATGCATATTTTGAATTCAAGTAAGCAAGATGCCTTCTCCAAAATAGTTTCATCAAGCTCCTTAATAATTCTTCTTGAAAAAGGAGGGGGTTGTACTTCTATCAGAAGGCAATGTGATGTGTTAAGCACTTCGAGGCTTTGCAAGCCATCTAAGATGATGATCAAGGCATCCCTTTTAAGCATTGTGCACCGGAGGCTCAAGACTTTTAACTTTGGCAGACACATAACTAGGGCAAAAGCAAAGTAGAAATTAATAGTGCCCATCACTTTGAGTTCAAAAAAGTTCTTACAATTCTTTGCAATTGCTTCCATGAGATATGGAGGATTTGCTATGCTGGGCATTGTCAGGGATTCAAGATCCTTGCAGCTTTGAATAGCTTTGCACAATCCAGCTTTCTTTATCCTGTTAAAAGCTGGCAGCCAAGACGTTACCTACAATAAGGGAAAGTAGTTCCAAAGAAAAATATGAAAATTAGGATAGAAAAAATAAGCATCCAAAATTACAGGTTTGTCACCCAACCCACACTAATAAAAGGGAAAGATCTAGGAAATATTTAGTCAGAAATATAGCAACAACTGTCAAATAAAATAATAAATGCTGCGTGTAACTAGGTTTAACAAATGAATTTTCAAAACATCCTTGTAGTTTAATAATGAACAAAATAACATGTTCATGGCAATGCAATACATGCTAACGAGGAAAACCAACAAATGTATGGAAAACGTTTTGTAAGGAAAAAGCATTCATTGTTGGAACTCAACAACAATAGGAATTAGTCACAATAGTAGCAAATAGCCGTTATCTGCATTCCTTTACCTCAATACCTTAGTATAACGTTTTATTTTTTATTTGACATGTGTCATCTGCCACTCTAAACAAAGATCAGATTTTAATTACAGAAAATCAGCAAGAAGAAACTCTGGGAAGATGCTAAATATGTAAAATTTACTTAAAGTTACCTTTCAGCAGTAGATGTCAACTGATCATCACTCACATATAAATTGAAGTGAAAAATCAAAGTCCTTGTGCTTCCCCGGTTGAGATTCAAAGATGTCTTAAGCACACAAGTCAATATCTTCTCAGAACAAGCATCCACGTATACATATGGTTGTAATGGGATTTTGATGAAATTTGATTTCAGCATAGACAAATCAAGTGTTTTCCAAAGCAAAGGATCACAACAAGCCAAGCACCATGCACTGCAGACATGAGCAATCCCCGAAATTAACTTAAATATGTCGAAAGACTGGAAGATCTTGACCAAGATATCAATATCCAGGTCCTCCCATCTCCTAGCAACAGGGTGATCCTCTTCCATTCCAGGTTCCAATATCTAGAAGGAGTTCCACTGTACAATCAAACCGATATATAGGTGCATAGGAATGAGAATAAAATGCTCAATCAGTTAGAGCATGCAACTCATACCCGTAACTGACAATAACAATAGGAAAACAGACATAATTGGGAATTGTTTAAAATTTCTGAAGTTCCTTTTCCTAAAAAAAAGAATATGTCACTTATGAAACTAAGCGCAAAGGAAATTCAGATATCGATACTAAAAGAGAGTTTAGGTATCTATATATATAAGTAAGCCATCTGAATTATAGCTAAATAGAGAATACCGTATGCAGCACTCCCTTCCAGGTCCTGGCAAGCCGAATTTCATTTAGCTTCCCAAATTTGAGTTGCTTCAACATTCATAAATTTCACAAGAATCACAATTAAGGTTCGAGATTCATTTCAAATGAAAATTAACCTCCAGCATGATCTGCATTCAATGGCTATCTTACATCAATAAAGGCAACATAATCAAACTGCGAATCATGCAAAGCAAGGGATATTTCAGTAATAAAGAATCTACACAGTACACACAATAATATATCCTTACATAACAAATCTATATCTACCATAAACCATAGGATCGCCTCCCATCTCCCCAAATTTACATTCTTACCTTATGTGTTTCCAACTCCTTCTTCCAGTTCAAAACCTTGAATAAGAGACACTCAAACATTCAATTCTCCTAATACCATAGTCCTTCATTTCCTACGATAAAAAAAGAACTTAACTAGGTCCTCCTTCCAATCCCCGTATACGTAACACCTAACACATAACACATTACCCTAGTGTAGCAGCTTGGTTGGCAAAGGGTTTGCTCCCCACCTTGTTGAATAGGTTTTGAGCAAATCACTTTAGTCCTCACATTGACGGCCTTCCTTTGATCTGACCAATTTTACACAAAAGAATACCCACATGCACAAACACAACATACAGAGAGGGACATATATCCACAATTGAATACGACAACAGAATCAAACACCAATCTTCCAAAAAAAATTGAGAATTTCACCTGCATGATCGGAAATGAACATTGCAACGGAAAAGTGATAAACCCAGGAAACAAAAACGAAAATTCAAGATACAACACAATATCATACTATCCTGCTTCCAACCAAAAAAAAAAAAAATCTTAGATCGAATTATACCAGACTCCTCGTCCTCAGTTCTCCTGGATCAAGATCAACCTTATCTCAGTCTCACCTCTCTTACACACAGACATCATATCTACGACACAAAGGAAAAGAATACGACAAAAAAAATTGTTGGCGAAAGATACCTTCAGATAAGCAGACATGTTATGGTGCCGGAGAGATATACACCATTTCTGGTTCCCAACACGGGAAGAACGAAACGGAAAGACAGAATGCGGAAATGAGAAACGTTCAAGATAACGAAAAAAGGGCCTCTCCTCTTTTTAAACTTCATCGCTAAAGATCGTAGCTTTGTTCTGGGTGCTGCAGAAACCAGGGGAGGCAACGGAGTGGATAGATATAACCAGAGAACAGGTTACGGAATTACGAACTGTAGCATTTCCTTTTGAATCGAGGTGCTGACTAGGATATCGGCTTTCATCAAAGTGCCTTTTAAACCCAAATCACAACGAAAATAACAGCAACACTTCAGTATGTGTAGAGGGCACACTTGTACATTTGATAACTACTTGTGCAATTACTTCAAGGCAAAAGGTGCAGATCACCCCCTCAACTCAACAACTGGTGGCAAATCACCCCCTCAACTCACTTCACACGCAAATCACCCCCTCAACTCCCCTGCAGTGGCAAATCAGCCCCTCTGTTAAGGCTTCCGTTGACATTTAACAGTTTGTTCATAAGCCCTTCCTCTGTGTCTGACGTGGCCCTTTTGTTGTTGAGATGGATGCTGCAGTGGAGGCACACCTGGACAAATACCTCAAAATCAGCAGATCAAACAAAATTACTTTTATACCCTTAAATGGTTTAGGAAAATAAAATTGGGGATTTAGGATCTGGGGTAATATTATTTCACTTTACAGTTTCCATCGTCTTCGTCTTCTTCCCCTCTTCGTCCTTTTAAGATCTGCAATTCATCGAGAATGGGGTTCTTTGTCAAGCTTTGAATCTTCTGTGAAATTACCATATTTTAAGGATTTAACTTCAATTCAACTAAAAAGGAGAGAGAGATCAACAGAATGAAGGAGCAACATTGCTAGCAGCTATTAAGGATTGAAACCCAAAAGAGTTTTAGTCGATCAGGGGACAGTGACTGCTTCAGTTTCAATCAGTTGGCAATTAAAAGTGCAGTTTGATTAAGCAACCAAACTTGAACTTGCTTAACCTCTGAAAAATAACAGTAGAAAAGGTCCTTCAACCTTAAAGTAAATTACCTAGCGGTGACGGCAAACTGAACGTTCCAAATCTGAAAATACCTGCACTCAATTGACAATTATAAGTGCATTATAAAATGAAGCTCCTTTCACAGAACTGAATGATTCCAATATCGTAGCTTTAGCCTAGGATAGAAAAGTTTGAAAGAGTAGGAAAGCTGGTACTTTCCATGCCATACAATCTATCTGAATCTAAAATGCAGGAAAATAGAGCTTCTCCAGGACCGTGCAGATTCACAACACCATTCCTAAATATGTCCCTAGCTATAGCTTTTCAATTAAATATACCAAAAACAAAGGACCAAAAAATGATGCAGCTTCATACCTTAGCCAATGATACAATAAAGTGGAATGAGTACAATAAAGTTTAACAGTATAATGCAGCAAAATTGTATAATGGGCAGGACAGATGCTACACTGGTTGTGATGCAGCCAATGATACTTCTCCATGGGAATAGAGATAAAGATATGCTGTCATGCTAGTTGGGACAATAATGGTCATCCAAATGCTACGCTGCATATAAAAGATAGAGATGGATTAGAAATTTTACTACATTTGAGTGGATATTCTCATATTTACATAAAAGTCATCAAAAAAACAAAAAACAGAGTCCAAGACCTGAGGAAGATGGTAAAAAATAAAGTCAAATTTCCTACACAATAATTAGAAATAAAATTATTGACAAAGTTCAAGCTGCTGCTGCAGCTTCCAAAAAAAGTCCAATTGACAATAGGTGCATTTTGCATGAGTACCTTCCATATATCTTTGTGAGTAAGATGATTTTGATCAAGATCAAAAATTTTTGCATAATTAACACTGCCCTGTGAAAAAACGCATAAGCTCACTCCCCAGAGCTAAACCATCATTGTCTGCAATAACACAACTAACAAATAAGAGTCCATATGCATTTGGTATCAAAGAGTAATAAAAGCGCCCAAAGAGATAATTGTCTACTGACCACAAGAAGACGGGGGTTATAGTACAAGAAGGCCTCATATAAGAACAAATCCTGTAAGTCTGCACTCATTCTCATGACTGAATCCCATCCAATCTATTCAAAAAAAGAATTACCAAATTTAAAATGACAAAGTGATCAAGCTTGCAAAGATGAGGACTATGAGATGCTCCAGGACTTTCAAACATGGGGAATGTCCTGAATAGTCTAACTAGTATTGGTCACATCCTGCAAACATAAATTAGAAAACTCATCAAAAGACAGCAGAAAGCATCAATTCTCAAAACAACGAATTGAATTCTTCTAAATTAAAATTAAAATTTACAGCAACAGATAGATGTAACAAATAATAACATAAGGCAGCATTGGTATGATTCGCGATTTTGCAATCTCCTATAATAATCATCTATAAAGACATTTCAAGAGCGTTTCTATGCCATACATGAAATTTTTACTACAAACAAATCGCAGATCAGGAAATGAATATCAGAGAAAAACGAATTGACATTAGAAACAAAATATTTAACCATTTACAGAAAGAATCGCAACAACTTTGTTACCAGTAATCAAAAGATCCGTAAAAACTGAATAGAATGCAAAGAGATGATGGCTAAACCGTGCGATTGAATGCGAGAAGGTGAGTTCAGATCGGGAAAAAGAGAATTGAAGAGAAAGGAAATTCGCAGCGGATTACCAGCCAGAGAAAACAACGAGGGCTGAGCATCTGCTGAAGTTTCTTCGTCTGATTTTGGCAGATCTTTGGAGGTTTTAACGGGAATAGAGAAGAAAGCGATGCTTGCATTCCGATGCTGATTTTGAGGTATTTGTCCAGGTGTGCCTCCACCTCAGCAAAAAAAAGGCCACGTCAGACACAGAGGAAGGGCTTGTGAGCATACTGTTAAATGTTAACGGAAGCCTTAACAGAGGGGCTGATTTGCCACTGCAGGTGAGTTGAGGGGGTGATTTGCGCATGAAGTGAGCTGAGGGGGTGATTTGCCACCAGTTGTTGAGTTGAGGGGGTGATATGTACCTTTTGCCTTACTTCAATATATTAAAATGTCTTTCCTGACGTTAATAGAAAAAGAGAGAGGGAATAATCCAAAGTCCAAAGGAGAAAGAGGGAAGAAATGGGGGTGAAGAATTTGTGGGATATTCTTCAACCTTGCGACAAGTCTCTGCCTCTCCACCGTCTCCAAAACAAGAGGGTGGGCAACTCGTCATAGATCTCTCTCGTTGGATTGTTCAACTTCAAAATGTTAAAAATTCGCTCTGCGCCGTCAAGGACAAACTCTATCTCAAGGGTCTCTTCCGGTTACCCCACGTCAAGGCCCTCATCGCCTTGAATTGCAGCCTTATTTTTGTTACAGGTAACCCTTTGTTTTTGGTTGTTCCCACAAGGGGTATTTCATTCTAGCAAAATTGCACGCGATGGTTGTAATTAAGAAAGGAAAACCGTTTTTTTTTTTTTTGGTTTTTAATGCGTCAAAGGGTACTTAAATTTTGAGGTATATGTTGTGTTGAAGTTGATTCTTTCTTGTATGGATTCTTTTCTAATTGGTCTTTTTCAGAAATGTGTCACTGTGGGGTTAACTATTATCTGGACTCAATGCTATAGACAGAGTTTATGATGAATCAAGGGAATTAAATTTTGTAGGGAGATAAAAAAGATGACAGCTTTATGGAAAAAAGTCATGGATTACTAGGAAGATGCCTACTTTGTGAGAAAGTAAGTGTTGGGTTCTACTATCTGACTCAGTTGCTGGTGTTTGTTGAAACTTGAAACCAGAAGAACATAAACTGGATTGGCAGCTTTTCGTGGTTATACTATGTATAAATTTTAGGCATGCTGACACGGAAAAGGAAAAACTACGAATTCTGAATTAGCAGGATTATTTTGTATGCCATGAAACTGTCGATATCTAGTCAGCTAAAGGAAAAATTATCTAAAAGATGATTTCACTGAGAACTTGGAATCTATAAATACCAAGATTCTAATGCTTATTTTGTTTCAGTGGTTGACCCATTTGTAGATTGATACCACCATTATGTTTTTAGCTTCTTGCTTGTTGTTGGATTTCATTGCTTTCAATCTCTAACTGAGTCAAGAGTCTTCTTTTAAACTAGTTTTAATTTTTTTTTTTTTTAATGATAGATACATTTAAAAAATTTGAGTAATCTTTTATACCTGAGAGATAGATCAATTCCTGCCATTAAACTACCTACATAAAGGCAGCACCTAAACTCAGGTTGTGAGATAGGGATTGACTTGACGTAGCAAAAGAAAAAGAAATGGCTTTAGTAGTTTGGTATTCACTAAGTACCATGATTGCCTTGTTCCATTTCCATGGATGGGACTGTGTTATTAAACTTAAAGCTTGAAAAATGACTAGACTTGCATTGTAGGACTAAGTTGATAGCAGGCTATTTTTAATTAGAATTTTCATCTTTAAATTCTTTTACTATTTTAAAAGGAAGGGACTTACTCACAGATGCTCTTTTAAATAATTGGTGGTTGTGATAGGGAGCAATGGATATCTACAGAGAGAGAATCAGTTTTGGCAACTCAATGAGGCATAAACAAGGCCCAAGTGCCACGCAGCAGATTCTGATGTAATACATAGGTGAGTTAGTTATGCCAGTTTTGTTACTGCTATCATATATGTTAGCTGTTAGTAGGAGACATCAAACAAGTGTCATTGATCTGAATTTTTCATTTACATTTCTCTGCCATCCTTTCCGCATCTCTTTGTGTATTAACGCCTTTCTAAAAGAGCTTAGGATGAAAGTAACATGCACGGGCATAGATAATTGCACTTTATGAGAATCTATATTGAATCTAACTGTCTGTTTGAACGCTTCATTTGTACATTTGTTGTAGATTTCAACGTCTACCCTACCACAAGTTATGGAAGCTTTTTTAGTATCTTTAAACTCCAGGAATAAGCCAGGAAAATGAGATTGCTTGGTGGTCATTAACCTTTCTGTTTTATGTATATGGTTCAGGATAGAAGTTACCGGTATCCTCTATATCCAATACAATCCTTGAGGAAAATGGTTTCTCTATGCAGTAATTAAACCTCTAAAGGGTGGTCCAGGAGATATTTATGATGAAATAACTCTGAATTTTCTTATGGGGATATATCTTGAATATTTCTTAAGGTGGTATTATTTCAGTTATTATTGGCTTTGAACTATTCATTTTGAAATCCTTTAAATGATAAACTGTTCAATGCTCTATGAAACGTGAGTTGAACAGAATTTGGTAAGTTTTTTGAAACTGGGTTTTTGAAACTGGGTCTTTCTCTGCTAAAATTCCTCTTGTTCTTTTAGTATAACTGCCTTATTAACAAAGGTTCTGAATTTCTTATTCTTTTGTGGAAATCGGGACCTGCATGTTGCCAAAGCTGGAAATGAGTTAGCCTATGCCAATTACGCTAGGCCTAGTCTTTATTTCTTATTGCCTAGAAACTAAGGCATGCACCTTTTAACTGTTTTATTCTTGTAGAGTTGTTGTGCAACATCCATTTCAGCAACTGGAACTTCAACACATGTGCAAAACTTATGGGGTGGCCTCCTGAGAAAACAGGTTCCTTGCTTCCTTAGGTATGTACATGGGATTACATGCATGAACATACAACATTTGTTATAAATTCATGCTTCCATGCAGTTGCAAGTTATTGAGTGGGCCCTATGAGCTCATTAAGTATCTGGGATCAGATGAATACATCCTTCCTACGATTGCCAAAAGGAATTTGTGACAATATGCTTCATCTGGACTAGGTGTTAAACTTTCACTCAATGAGGAACTCATCTGAGTCATCTCTATATTTAATTTATTCTTCATCTTCTATAATTATTTTTGACTTACCATTGCTGGACTTTGCTGCTTTTAAATGAGAACCTTGATGGTCACTCGCGTAAGGTAAATGACAAAGTTAACTGTTATTCCATCTGCAATGAAGCTTCTCCATTATGCTGTTGGTGTGGATTTTCAAATCTGACCATCGCAATCGGTATTTGACATTTTGACTAGGAAAACTTTATACATTGCAGATACCAGTTAAGCACAGAAAAGTTTAAGGAAAAGAATGTTTCAAGGTGTCATGGGAAGAGGTAGATGGACTTAAAAACCTCTGTAGTTCCAGCAGATCTTGTAGAGACGTATGCTGCATCATTAAATTTGATTAGGCTTCTTATATTTTAACAAAAAGTATTTATCTCTGGAGTTGATATTTTGTGATGATGCACTTGAGCTATACACATCCAGAAAACCACTAAAAATTAAGGGTTTACTAGCTATCTCTCCATCTTTATCTGAACTAGTTAGCAGCATTTTCCTATGATTAATTTAGCAGCTCAATTTCTATACCATAGATATAATTTGTATTATTTCATTCCTGTTTATCCATAGTGCTTGTCCTGAATTCACATAATTTGTTCAATTTCCATAGCCTATGCTGATGAGAATGACCACATTGGTGCTGTGTCATATCTTTGTATTATGAATGATATTCAAAGATCAAATTCCACAGCTCTACACTAAAGTAATTAGTGGCGACGATGTAAATTTCACAGAATCACAGAGTTTGAGTAAATACGAATTCAGGTTAGCCAATGTTGAGAAGAGGGTGTCCTCGATCTGAGGCTTACAACGTAAAGGGGCATTAGCAGCACAGTGAATGCGTTCAGCCATCCATCATCGTCAGCCAGTGAAAGCTCCTTAACCACCTTACCGTTGTCTCGTTGACATCTCCTGATCAGATGGTTGTGGGGGGAGGTAGAGGTGCTATTGAGAATATTAGGTATGAAGTCCTTGGTGTCATCAGCCTTCCCTTCTGCAAACCATAACACGGCATAAACGAGGTCACAAGCTGGGACCTCTAGCAACCACGTAGCTGAGTTGAAGTATAGGATCTCAATGCAGAAGGTGAAGTCAGATGTGTGGTAGCAGACCACATTTATGAGCTCTGAACCATTCAAAGTTCCTCTGAGCGAGGGATGTATGATGATACGGAGTACAAAGAAAGGAATTACCCAGTAAAGGCAAGGAAGAAGATGAAACCTGGCCTATTTCTGGATTCATAGGGTTGGAAACCTAAAGATGTATTGCCTTACATTCTATTTGGTGAGTGCTTAATTAGTGTCTCAGCTTAATGTATAGGGGGAAAAGGACTTAGTGTGTGAACTCATAAATTAATCTCTTGCGAATATTCGTGCCTTCCTACCATCCTTCAAAGTTGCCTATACATTTAGGTTGACCGAAGTTATACTTGTTAACAAAAAAGTCTTTAATTTGAGGTTAAGATTAAAAGTT